TATTGAGCTGAGCTAAGCCAGGCTCAGCCATGGCCAGTTCAGGTGAGCTGATCCCAGCCAAGCTCAGCTGTGCTGAGCTGAGCCCAGTCCGGCCCAATGAGTAAAACCAAGCCGAGTTGAGCTGACCTGTGCCAAACCATGCTGAGCCGAGCTCAGCCGGGCCAAGCCGTGCTGAGCCGAAACGAGCCCAGCTGAGCCCAGCCGCGCCAGGCTGAGCTGCACCGAGCCGTGCCGCGCCAGGCTGAGCCCAGCCAAGCCAAGCCCARGCGAGCCGAGCGGGTGCGCCGCGCTTGCCGCGGAGCTGTCCAGCCTCTGTCGCCTCTCTGTGCCCGGCTCCAGCCCGCATCCCGAGCCCGCCATGCGGGAGCGATGAGCGCAGCCGCCGCCCGGCCATGGAGGAGGATTTGTTCCAGCTGAAGCAGCTGCCGTGAGTAGCACCGGGGGGGCTCCTGCCCCTCCGGCCGCGGGAATCCCGGCGGGGTGCGGGGAATTGTGCCGGGAAGCGGCTCGGGGCTCCGGGAAGCAGGCCATTTTCCCCGCTGGAGATGCCCCGGGTGCAGCATCCCGAGGGATGCAGGAGCCGTTCGTTACATAAATTCATTCGTTTCGGGGGGGTTTTCTCGGCGTGGTAAAGAAAAAAAAAATCAGAAGGGGTGGGATAAAACCCACAGGAGATTTTGGGAGAGGAGACTTTGGAATGGCCTTTGCAGGGGGGTTTATCGATAAATAACGTAGGGCTGGGGAGGCTTTTCCTCCCCATCCTCCTCCCTGCCAGGGAGGAATTGCAGAGCACAGCCGAGCTCTGCCAAGGTGGGTTTGGGGGGACCATCGGCATTCCCGGTGTTTCCGAAAAGGGAAACGCTGCTGTACAAAGAAAATGCTGATTTTTGCCAGGAACTCTGCCTTTGGGATGTGATTGCTGGATTTCTGCAAAAAAAAAAACCCCAAAACCCGAACCTGATAGAATCTTTGGTGCCGTTAACCCCAGGAATTCCTTCCTTTTCCCTCAATGCCAAACACTTCCTTTAAAACCAACCCCATTTTTTTCCTAATGCTCCATTCTCAGGTGTTTTGCAACATATTCCTATTTATAAATCATGGGCTCCGCAAGGCAGGGAATGAATGTTTCAAGTTGGTGTTAAATATTCATGAGCTCGTGTCAATGACAGAGCACCCTGTCCCATAACATCCCTGATAAGTTGGGAAAACGCACGTGAACTCCAGTTCTTTTCCAGTCCTTACTTAGGAAGCCTTCAGCTTCTCAGCAAAAGGAATCAGGGGTTACTTTATTAAGCTTTTTTTCCCCATTTTTAAGAACAAAACCTGGCAATATGTTCCAAAGTACCTTCCAGTGCAGGTATTTTGATGCTGTGAGATCTTGCAAATGAATGCAGCAGCTCCCTGAACTGTCCCAGATGTGAAAAATTTGGCARGGATGGAACAGAAATTATCCCTGTGAAGTTTTTTTTTCCTTCATTTGTTTCATAGATTCCTAAATTATACACCTATATTTTTATTTTCTGTACTGAAGAATGTGGTAATCCCTGCTTGAGTGTGTGGGATCCATCACCTCTGAAGCTGGAATGATCTTTAAGGTCCCTCCCTGTGATTCTGTGATAATTTAATCTGTTTCCCAAAAAAACCCAAATTTCTCTTAAATCCAAGGAATTTTCGTTTTCCAAGAGGAAAAAGTTGCACTGTGTTGCAGGTAAAGTGAAGGAAGCTTGAGAGATCTGTTCCATTAAATCTGGGGGATCTGTTCCCAAATTTTTGGCCACARAAAACTTTATGGATGGGAAAAGAACCTTCTCTGTGGAAAGGGAACAAATCACTCTGACCAAAACATCAAAGCTGTGTCAATTTAACAGATTCTGGTCTTAAAATATAGATATTTAATTAATTACATGGTATTAAATAATTKTGTTTAAGATGAAAGAAGAGTCACAAAATCAGCATCCTGATGGAAAAAAAATCCATCCATTCCCTGAATGGTCTCATTAATTGTGTTTCATTAAATAATATTTCAAGATCTGACACATTTCAGGAATTTCACTTCTAATCACAAAACCAACTCAGAAAATGGGATTTGGGCTCTTCCTACCAGGAAAAAAAAAACCCAAAATCAATGACACAGCAATGCCTAATTCCCAGTAAAATCCAGGCAGACAAAACACGGATATCATTGAATATATATAATTTAATCATATTTTTATGACCTTCATKATTTTGTAGATAGCACAATAACAGCCTCTATGTCCAAAAACAAAGATTATATCCCATCCCAATTTAGGATACCTGAAACCAGATCCAAAACAACTCACAGCATTCCCTGTGGAAGATGGAGACAGGGAATGAGGAAAAACCTGGATGCTGCTTGATTAAAGGGGGCTTTAAGAGTCACCAAGCAGCTCCCAGCTGGAAAAAAGCCCTGGAAGGAATTCAATCCCTGTTTTTCTGTGCTTTCAGGGTGGTGAAGTTCCGCCGCACCGGGGAGAGCTCGAGGTCGGACGAGGATGGGATTTCGGGGGAGCACGAGGTGCAGATCGAGGGGGTGAGGACAGAGCTGGAGCCYGTGGAGCTGGGGGATGGAGCTGCAGTGCCCAAGGAATTCGCCAAYCCCACGGATGGTGAGCAAGGAGAAGGTGGTGGGGCCTCTTCATCACAATCAGGAGAAGTTAAGGATCCCCAGATATAAAATAACAACACGGGGAAATTGTTTTACACCTGAAAAATCAAGATTTGATCAGCYCCATTCCCTGTGTGTTCCCTTCTGTATTCCTGGATACTCCTCTTAGGGAGTTGTGTTTCCATCTGCCACCCCAGTTGTGTTTCCAGCTGCTGGAATTTGGTGGAATTCTAGTTCCACACTGGAATTTGCCTTTTTTCCCTCTGGAACTGCTCAGTGCTCCTGGAGCAGCTACRCCCAGCTCTCCTTCAAGGCTGAGATGAATCTGCAGAATTCCTGTCTCCTCTTTTCCTAGAGAACAACAGGAATGTCCATACCAGCCTCTGCTTCAGGAGAGATGAGAAATATTTGATTTGTCTTATCACAGTGTGAAAATTTGGTGTTAATCTTACTTATGAACTTCTCTGCTGTGTTTTATCCCATGGATTTTGTTTGATTTCCTCCCAGTTTGTGTTTCTGTGAGGATCTCACAGCTCTGAGTCAAAGCTTTTCTGAGGAATGTCCTTTCCCAATTGCTGGAAGTGTTGGAACTGTGAGACTTAAATTTRTTTAAACAACTGGAATATCAAAATGTGCTCTTTTTGGTCATTTCATTTTGCTTTTGAGCAAAGGAATTTGAGGCCTCTCAGCACCTTCAGCTGGAACAAACTAAAGAGGTCATGGCAGTGGGTAGAAAACAACCAGCAGCATTTTTAACAGAAGCAGGGTGTAAGATACCAATGTTTTGGAGAAATTCTTGATTTAAATGAGACAGGTTGCACTAAAATATTCCCTGCAGCTCCCAGCACTGCTGTGGGCTGTGACAGAGGTGTTTCTCCCCAGAAAAAGCTGCAGGAGTCACTCCCAGGAGGAAGAGGCTGAACATGGGCTGGATTTGTGGGTGCCACACTGATTTACCTCCATGGGATTAAAATATTCTAGGAATAATTAGAATTATTTTAGCTTTGGAAGAACACAGAGATTTTCCTGAGTAGAAACTGTATAAAAACTAAGTAGCTCTATTACATATTTGAGATCTCAGCAAAATGACCAATTAATTAACAATTAAACCAGAAAATTCTCTCTTGAGGCTGGCTTTTAGAAGGAAGAATCCACTGGAATTGTTTTCTTTCCAGATACTTTCATGGTGGAAGATGCGGTGGAAGCCATTGGATTTGGGAAGTTCCAGTGGAAGCTCTCTGTCATTACTGGATTAGCATGGGCAAGTAATTGGGATCAGGATCTGTTGTTGATCTGTTGGTCATTAATTAGAGAATCTCAGATATTTCAAATAATGGACACAGTCTCCAAGCAGATAAATGTACAATAAAGCAGGAATTTTACTGGAAATTCTAAAATAACAGCTGGACTCAGCCTTGCTTTGAGGGGTAATGAGTAATGATGGATTTCTTTGTCTCTGAATTTTTTATAAATCGGGGTTTAGAAAACCATTTTGATTCTTCACTTCAAATTCAGTTGCAAATGAAAGAGTTTCCAGGCTGCTCCTGCAGAACTTGAAATTATTTTGCCACATTCCTCCCATCAGCTGCCATCTCTGTTGTCTGTATTAGTCTGGATTGCTGTAATTTCAGTTTCAGAGGAACAGCAACCCAGCTGTTAAAACTTCCAGTTTTAACCTTGACACCAACAGCAAAAAAATCTTGGTTTCCATTTTCTGCTCCTTCTGAAGGTCTGTTTTCTACCTCCTGGGGTTATTTTAGGATCCTGTTATCTGGAGCTATATTTACTGGCTTTTATCCATGTAAAAGGCTGGAATCTGCCACGGTTTAGATCCTAATTCCTGTGGAATTTAGTTTACAGGTGATCTATCCAGACCCAGGAATGTTTAAGGGARAAAGGGAATAAGTTATGAGGTATTAAACAGTTCTGACTGAATYTCTGTGGGAAGGGGCTGGAAACTGGAATTTGCACTATGGAAGTGACTGAACCTGAGTCACTGAGTGGCCAAACCTCCTCAAAATCCTTGGATTTTGTTGTTTGGCTCCTTTCTGTCAGAGTTACTAAATGTGCTGACAATCAGAAATGAGTTGAAATGTTAAAAGTTAAAAGTTAAGTTTCACCACAAGGTGGGAACAACACAGAAATATCACCAAGGCCTATTACTRACTCCTAAATCCACCTGATTTCCAGGCAGTTGTTGATTTTGCTTTCTCTTCCCTCTGCAGATGGCAGATGCCATGGAAATGATGATTTTAAGTATCCTTGCTCCTCAGCTGCACTGTGAGTGGCGCTTACCCAGCTGGCAGGTTGCATTGCTCACCTCGGTAGGAAAAATACCTGACAGCTCCTGTCTTCCCTGAGGTTTTTCCATCATTGTTATCCAGGCATTTTGCTTTGTATCCCCAAAACTGAATCTCTTCGTGGCATTTGTAGATTGTCTTCAGTTTGGAAGTTTATAGGAGTTTTTAGAAAGGATTTATAGGGTTTTTTTTAAAAGATTGAAGTAACGAAATTCAGTGAGAAGTGAGGGAATTTTGCAAATTTTGAGCTCCAAGTTTCATGTAATTTCCAGGAAAACCTATGAATTCACTCAAATTCATCCTAAAATTTGAACTATTTGATTAATTAAAAAAAAAAGGTAAATGTTTATTATCTTGCTTGAAAATCTTTCTCTGCCATTACAGCTCTCTGACAAACTAAGAGCCCTGAGAGARAACAAACAGTTGATTTTTGAGGTTGGACTCAATGACCTCAGARGTCTTTTCCAGCCTAAATAGTTCTGGGATTACCCAATTATCCTTGGAAGCAGAGATTTTACAACACCACCTCCAAGTATGGTGCTGTGATGTTGGAATCCTGCAATGCCTTTAGGGATAAGAAAACAAATTTGGGAACCCTTCTCAGCATAGGCCACTGCTGAATGCAGGGACTTTATTCCTTACATTTTTTTTAACTTTTAATGCCCTTTATTTGATTGTGTAAAATGGTCAAAATGCTCAGCAGATTTAATGGTGTCCTTGAATCATATTAATGTCCCATCCCTGAATGCAGAGGGTCCTTCTTGCAGCTCAGCTCAAGGGTGTCACCCCTCTGAAAAGGCTTCAGGGTATTTTCTTTCACACTTCAGATTTTTCTAAACTTTTTAAGGTGTAATTTTATCTCTGTTTCAACCTGAGAGCTGCTGAGGATGGTGGTGGGAGGCTGAAGCAGAGCTCTGTCCTGCAAATCTCAACCAACAACTCCTCAGCTTTTATTCAGGAATATTTTCCTTGGAGTTGGAGAGCTCTGTGTCCTCCAGGGCTGGACTCACAATGGGCACAATACCAGTGTGCCCAGTCCAGGCCAGACTGGGATTGTCTGGGCTGTCACTGGTGGATTTTTAATACAAAGCTGACTTGAGGGGGGCCTTAATGCTTCCCTGCTCCAACACAGAGAGAACCAGATGATCTTTAAGGTCCTTTCCARCCCAAACCATTCTCTGACCACCTGCCCATCTCGCTCTATTTCAGGCTGAAATGTTCCAGTTTCACTGAAAGTTTGTGTTCTGTGCCTGTCACATTGGGATTTTCACTCGTTGTTAAGGGAATGATTTTTTCCTGCTGTTCCACAGGTGGTGTTTGTGGGAATGATGTCCAGCTCCACGCTCTGGGGAAACATCTCAGACCAGTATGGGAGGAAAACAGTAAGTCTGCAGCTCTTGCTGGGATATATCCCAACATTTCTGCAGTGTGGATATTTCAGTGCAATTGGTGCAGGTTCCCAGAGAAGCTGGGGCTGTGCCTGGATCCCTGGAAGAGTCCAAGGCCGGGTTGGATGGGGCTTGGAGCAAACTGGGACAGTGGAAGGTGTCCCTGCCCATGGCAGAGGGTGGCACTGGATGAGGTTTAGGGCCCCTTCCAACCCAAACCATTCCATGATTCCATATTCACAAATGTCCACATGTTCAAAGCAGCATTAAACACACCCAGAACTGAGCTGCTATGAAATATAAGGAATTTGAAGCTCTGTTTTACACTCTCATTTGTRTTACAGTGATTTTTAACTCTTGCTGAACACAGGGCCTAAAGATCAGCGTGTTGTGGACGCTCTACTATGGGATCCTCAGTGGATTTGCTCCCATTTACAGCTGGATCCTGGTGCTGAGRGGCCTGGTGGGCTTTGGCATTGGAGGAGTTCCTCAGTCGTAAGTAAATATTCACAAATCCGAACTTCCTCATTTTTATTTCTTTCTTAYAAAATTCTCATGTCAAATTGAAGTCCTGTTTCTGTTCAGCCACCCCAAACCTTGGTCTTGTTTCATGGCAGGTCATGACCAAAACACCAGCATTTAKAGGCAGAGCTGAGCCCTGAATCTGATTGTAAAACCCCAAATTATTGTTCAGTCAGAGCCTGAACCTCCCCATCTCACCCTGAGCTGGAATTCGAAACCCACACAGCCCAAACCTGTGATGGCTCAGGAGGAAAAGGCAGTGTCGGGATATTTCTCAATCACTCTGTGATTCTTTTCACTGAAGAGAGGGATCCATAAATTTTCCACCTGCAATAAATAACTCTGCTCTAGGCTTTTAATTATAAATGKAAAGGGAAGGGAACAGCCATTCTCTCTCTGTGTAGTCTTTTATCCTTATCAATAATTGATATTTTGCCTTCTGGAGGTGCTATTTTGGAGCAGGCAGAGTCTCACTTGGATTGATGACTCCCAGATTCCTTCCCAAGGCAAACCAGTGGCTTTTCCATTGCCACTYCCAGAGGAAAGATCCAGAGCTGCAGGTACAGCCCAGCCAGGGCCACTTGACTTGGCTTCAGCAGATCAAAAGCAGAGCCAGTTCCAGATCTCCAGTGGATCCCATCCTCCATGAGTCTGTTTCCTGTTCTAACTACAACAGGGATTTATTTGACAGAGGGGTGGATGAAGCAGGAAAAGTTTCTCCTTTCTAATCCCCTAAGCAGGTTGTGTGATTTTGGAGGTGAATGCTTGGATCTCCATGGAATGAGTGCCTTTGTAATTTCCTCCTCTGGACTGGCTCCAACAATTCCATGTCCTTTTGTTGGGGTCATTCATCARCTCTTGTTTTCCCTGCATTACAGAGGGACCTGAGCTACATTTAAAGATGTGATTTGAGTTCTTGAAATCATTTCTTGAATGAAAAATTATGGGAAATTTTATACTTTCCATGAACCGAGTCCTGGGCAGCTCCTCAGAGATCAATCCACTCTTTCCTAAGTTAGCAGGATTTTTGTCCCAAACCTCAAAGGAAGCCTGAGGAGTTTGGAGGTAAGAACAGGCTGAGTCAATGGAATGCAAACAGGAGCAAAGAAGCAAAGCCARGCCTTCAAACCAGTTTGAAGGAGATGCAGAGCCTGGACTGGCTGCTGCCTGAATTYCTCCTCAGGAAWTCCTCCTGGAGAAGCTGTGCCATCMCTCACTCCTTGGCACAGGCATGAAACAAAACCTCTGCAGAGCTCAATGGTTGCTCTTTGAATCCCACAATAAAAGAATGCAAATTATTTTATACCAGGAACATGAAAGTATTGCCCTTTTGGAGAATTGAACCCTGGTGCAGGAGGGTGATGGGAATTCTCTGAGCCAGTTGTAAAGCCCTGAAGAAATACTTTATCCAGCAAGTGTTTGTGTTGAATTCTGATAGAGCACACTGAAAATACCCAATAAAATGATGCTCTGGTTCAGAGCAGAGCTATGGAAACATGTGCATCAAGATCTGCATTTAACTGACACCTATGGGATCACAAAACCACACAAAAAGAGCAAACTGTCCTCTCTTGCAATGTTGGGGGGTTTATTGTGGCATGAGAGTGTGACCCAGTGTCACAGCCTGGCTGGCTCTGGGGATAAGGRAGAGCTTTGAGTCACTGCTCTGGGTTTGGCAGTTGATTAAAAGGCAAAGGGGATGTTTGAACCTCTGTCTGGCGTGGCATTTTGCTCTYTGTGCTAACCTGACATTTTCCTCTCTGTTCCCTCTTTGCAGGGTAACTTTATATGCTGAATTCCTTCCAATGAAAGCCAGAGCAAAGTGCATTTTATTAATAGAGGTGAGTAGGTGCATTCTGATCCTTGAACAAATCCCATTCTTGTTCACATCCCTTCCATCCTCCTGCCTGCAAATCCCCTCAGAGCTGCAGCCAGACCTTGTCTGTCCACCTTGGTGTGGAGCTGAGTCACTCCTGAGCTCCAAAAACAGCAGAAAGTTTTCCTGTCATACTCCACTCTTTGTTGAATTTGCCTTTTTTTAAAATTATTTTTTTATCCAGGGCTGCAGAGTGAGCACAAGGAGGCCATTTGGTGTCTGTGATTTCTTGGTGAAATTCATCTCCATCTYAGTGATGGATTTGAAGAGCTGACAGCTCCACAAATTCAGGGCTAAATTCAGCTCCACATCTTCATTCAAATGTGCCAAAGTCACACAGAATTTTGTCCTTGKCAGAATTCACACCCCTGGCATTTCTCTCTCCAGCCATCCCTGGTGAACACAACCTGGAATGCTCCAAAGAGGATGCCATGGGAGCACTGCAATCCTCATTTTGCTGTTGATTTTYCCTCTTCCAGGTGTTCTGGGCCCTGGGGACTGTGTTTGAAGTGCTCCTGGCAGTGGTGGTGATGCCCACGCTCGGCTGGCGCTGGCTCCTCATCCTTTCTGCCCTCCCWCTCCTGCTCTTTGCTGGCCTGTGTTTTGTAGGTATTCCTTAAGGATTCATGTGCATTCCTGCAATTCTCATTCCTCTGCCCCATTCTGTGACCCAGCTGAAGGAAATCAGGACAGTTTTGAGCTCTCTGGTGGTGTCTTTTGTGAAATAACTGAAATAATTACMAAAAAAAATGCAGTTTCAACAGGATACTGGGTAAAACAGTCCAGGGARAGCTGGATTGATGTGACTGTAATTGCTGGAGGACAATGGTGGGCTGGAATTTTGTGAAATTAACTCTGGAACCCTCTCCAATTTAATGACTTTGTTTCAACTAAGCTCAGTGGAATCAACATCAATTTATCCAAAGCTGTTGTTATTTCCCAAAATGCTCTTTTGATTTTKTCACTTTTCAAATCAATTTCCACTCAAAAATCCTCCCAAATCAGGGATAGAATCTGCAGAGTGCAATCAGATTCCAAAATAAGTTAAACCTCAGCTTCAGTGATGTATTTTATATTTCATTATTTATTAGGTGATCTATTTGCCAATCACTCCATCTTCTCATTGATAAATCTCCTTATCACATGATTAATTTTCCTTAATTTTTCAAGAATACCTCCAGTTATAAATGGGCTCACAAGCTTGTTCTAAATTAAAAGATTAAAAGMTCAAATAAAAAGCTCAAAACCATAAATTTTGGGATGCCAAGGGYATCTTGTTATCTGCCCTGGATGCTTTGTCATTCCTGCAGGGAAGGGGTAATGTAAAGAACCCGCAAAAATTCCCAGCATTTCTCAAGGACAAACCCAAAGGAATGGAAGAGAAAGRGTTCTGAGTTCATGGGGAAAGTGGGAGGTTGCAGCTTTTAAAGCCTGATGAGATGATTCTTGGAATTTTTCAAGCTTAGTTCTGTAATCCTTTGTTTTATGAGGGTCTGCTGGAATCCCTGAGATCCCCCCAAGGAAAACCCCGGTGTTTGTTGCTAATTGTGACCTCTCCCCATGTTTGTGACCTGCTCTGYTCCCTTAGTGGCTGCCAGAAAGTGCCAGGTACGATGTGTTATCTGGGAACCAGGAGAAAGCTCTGGCCACTTTGAAGAGGATAGCAACAGAAAATGGGGCTCCAATGCCTTTGGGGAAACTGGTGATTTCCAGACAGGTACGTGCAGCTCGCAGGCACCTCCATAACCCAAAACTGAGGGGGGTTGTAGGTAAATCATCAATGCTCTGTTCAATTTTAGTGTCTCAGCTAGGCATAWAAAATGAGATTTGATTATTTAGGCCTCTTCCCCAGTGAGGAAGAGGTAATTCCTCATTTGGAATGAAAAGCAGCTTGAAATGAGCATTAATGTTATTTAACCTTCATGTTATTAAAGAAAATCAAACCTTGAGGTTGCTGGAGAGCTCAGCTCAGAATTCTCTGATCTCATGAGATTCTGAGGTTCTGAATTCTCAGATCTGAACTCATGAGATGAGATGGGATTGGACACTTTTTCTGTCTCTCATCATCCATCCTCTTCTTGTTCCCAACAGGAAGACCGAGGCAAAATGCGGGACCTTTTCACCCCCCATTTCCGCTGGACCACATTGCTGCTCTGGTTTATTTGGTAAGGGAAAACATAAAGGTTCAGTGCCAGCACAGCTCTAAATGGGTTTTATTGAAGGGATTTTACTCAAATACAGCAACTTCCTCCTCAGGAAAAAAACAATCAAACAAAAAAACCCCAACCTGTATTGATTTGTAATTTATTAAACCATCCCATCATTCCCACTCAAATTGACCTTTAATTTTCTGAATAGCTTTGAGTTAGGAGTTTTGATTTGTGTTGTTTCATCTAAGTTGGATCAGCTCAAACTTCCTCTCTCATTTGCTTCCTTGCAGGTTTTCCAATGCTTTTTCATATTATGGGTTAGTTTTATTAACTACAGAGCTCTTCCAAGCAGGAGATGTTTGCAGCAGTGAGTATTGATCCACCTTTTCTTTTTAAATATATCCTGTTAAAACTGCTGGAATTTCTTTTATTRACTCACCCTCTGCTGTTGGTTGGAAAAGAAATGTGGCTGAGTTTTAAGTTTACTTTATTTTAAGTATTTCTTCATCTCTGCAGAGAGGTCTGGCAGTGGTTTTGAGCCCAAAATGTAAAACAGCAAGACAGCCTTCAAGGCAGACCTGTTATCTGTTCTTCTTGATTGAAAAAAGTGATTGAATAAATATAAATTTGACAGGTTTAATTAGTTCTGAGAGAGAGAAACTRCTGCTGTGGAGCCCCTGGGTTCTCAAGATGGGAAAACCTGCTGAGAAAAAAGATAATGGTGGGAAATCAGCATCCTTTGTGTTGCAGAATTCTTCCAGGGGGGAAAAAAAGGTGCTTTGACTGAGTTGTGAAGAGGCTTGAACARTTTGATTCCCCAGGAGAGGAGTGATTGCATTCAGAACACTTGTAATTAGGGAAAACTGCCTGAAAGTTGGGAAATTATAAAAGGAGGATGGGGAGTGTTGGAGCAGCCCCAGATCCTAGGGCTGAACAGCAGTGATGAGCTCTGAGAGCTCTGACTCARGTTTGCCTCCCCAGAGAAGGATGCAGCCCTTAAAAACCCTTGTTTTTATAAGAACATGGGGTTATTCAGTATTCTCAAGGTGTAGGAAGTGTTGGGATTCCAATTTGTGTTGGGAGTAACTGGTTTATTTGGGTTAATCTTGTTCTGAGCCCTGGACTGGAAAATAATTCAGGCTGTACAGCTGATGAGGTGGAATTTTCACTGTGACTGCAGATTTGAGACACCCTGTCACAGAAAACATTCCAAATAKTCAACATTTCCAGGTAAAATCACCAGGCATTGCTCTCCAATGCCCTCTGACCTTGGATTCCATCCCAGCAGCACATCAGGCATTCAGAAGAGGAATAGCAATTAAATCAAAGGGGCAGAATCACTTGAATTTCTATCCCTAAACTTTCCAGAAGTATTTTAAAGGGTGGTGAATCCATGCCAGTCCTTTCAGTGCATCTCTTCCTCTAAGTTTCAGCTGGGAGAGTGATAGAGACACAGCATGAAGATAAACAGGGAAGAATTTGCTTAAAATATATTAAATATTTGTGCTTTTTTTTTCCTCTCCAGTATCCAGCAGAAGGCAGGAAGTTCAAGCCAAGTGCAGCCTGACCTGTGAGTACCTGACAGAGGAAGATTACACTGACCTGCTGTGGACAACCCTGTCAGAATTCCCTGGTAAGGAGCAATGAGAAACATCAGTTTTTCCCTGGAATGGCTCAGGGTGTGGGAAGGGGCTCTGACATCTGGGATGTCTGACCTGTGCTAAATCTGCTGCAGCCCCTGTTTGATTCCCAAGGGTCTCCTGGTCTCTTCCCTCAGGTGTGTTGGTGACCCTGTGGATCATCGACCGCATCGGCCGCAAGAAAACCATGGCCCTGTCCTTCCTTGTCTTCTCCTTTTGCAGCCTCCTGCTGTTTCTCTGTGTTGGAAGGTGAGTCCAGCACAGGGAACAACTGGACTGTTGTATTCATCCATGTTCTCTGTTGATTGTGGTGGAAAAATTGAGGGAGTGGTTGTTTGAAAAAAAAAAAAGCTGTGGGATGGTCGTGCTCAGCTGGAGAGAGATTTAAGGCTGGGGTTGGGTWTTTTTCACCAGAGTTTGGGAGGGAATTTAAATCCAAGTGAACTTAGTGGATTGAATTGAACATTCCCAAACTCTACTCTCTTTTCTTCTTACAGAAATGTTCTTACTGTGCTGCTCTTCATTGCAAGAGCTTTTATTTCAGGAGGATTTCAGGCTGCTTATGTTTACACTCCTGAGGTAAGGGGGTCATTGTGATGGCAGGAATATTCGAGGGGAGTGGGAACAGGTGGGAAAGTAATTTTGATGAGCTGTATCCAATGGAGCTCATRCCATTCTGTGGGGTTGTAGATGCCATAGAATGGGCTGTGGCACCACTTAAGAATTCCCATTAGGARTGGAGGGAGGAGAACTTCCCACTGGCATTGATGGGATGCTGTTTTCTCCACAGGTTTATCCCACAGCCACTCGTGCTTTGGGCCTGGGAACGTGCAGTGGAATGGCCAGGGTGGGAGCCCTCATAACCCCCTTCATTGCCCAGGTAAATCCCTTCTCCTCTGAGGCTTGAGGCACAGGAAGCTTGGATTTGATGATCTTGGAGTTCTTCTCCAGCTCTAGCAATTCCATGATTCTGTGAAAGTGATGAAGAACCTGCTTTTCTTTCACTATCCCAGTTTGCTCCAAACCCTGTTCAACCTGGCCTTGCACACTTCCAGGGATGGGGAGCCAGAGCTTCTCTGGGCAACCTGTGCCAGGGCCTCTCCACCCTGACAGGGATGAATTCCTTCCTAAAATCCCTTCTAACCCTGCCCTCTGAGTGTTTAAAACCACTATCCCTTGTCCTGGCACTGTCTACAAAATGTYCCTCTCCTTTCCAGAAAGTGCACTTCAAGTTAAACTTTTTTCCCAATAGTACAATTAAAATTTCTGTTTCTCTCTCAGTATATTTCCATGCTGAGCTGCTGTTCTGCATTCCCTGCCTTTTTCCTGCAGGTGATGTTGGAATCCTCAGTCTATCTGACTCTGGTGGTTTACAGTGGCTGCTGCCTGCTGGCTGCCTTGGCCTCCTGCTTCCTGCCCATCGAGACCAAGGGCCGTGGCCTGCAGGAGTCCAGCCACAAGGAATGGGGCCAGGAGATGGTGGGCAGAGGATCTCATTCCCCAGGGGAATCACAGGAATGATGGGATGTGGAAACCTGCTGGAAGAATGAAGGATAGGAGCAAGATGTCTCACAAAACCTCTGAGCCTGAAGCATGGAAAGCTGACCACCATCACTGCCAACGTCACGTGTTCAAACTGCAGGAATTTGGGGTTGAACCTCAGCAAATTGTGTTTCTGCTGCTCTTCGCTCACACTCATAAAAACTTTTCYGGATGGAGAGGCCTTCGATCCAGATATCCTTGGAAATTTAGCAGGAGGGGTTTCTCTTCAGTCTGTCATGCTTGCATGGTCAGCTCTTCCGCTTAAAATGTCCWGTGCCAAGCAAATGCCAAGTGACTGCAGCCCAGCAAAAGCTGTCATTAGAACACTGAGCTCTTGATGCCTAAAACCAAGGGGTTCGTATTTATTGTGAACATTTATGGCACAGGGTGAATTCCATACCCTACACTATGGATTCAATGCCTGCCTTGCACTTTTAGCCACCAAAACCACCACCAAAATGTGGTTCCGGCAAACCAATCCGGGCTTTCCAGTTGGGTTCTGTTCCTGGAGGATTAACAGGYGTGGATTGCTTGGAAACTGATTCCTGATTTCAGATTTGTCCCATCCCAGGTGGGTCAYTGGAGCAGGGAGGGTGGTGTTTGCTGCAGAGCTGGGACCTTGGAGCAGAAATGTCAATCACAGAGTCATTAAGGTTGGAAAAGACCTCAAAGCTCATCAGGTCCAAAGTACAAATCCTCGTGGTTTGGGGCAAAATTGGACTTCTTTGGCATTGCCAGGGACCTYGAGCTCTCTGTTGTTTGGAGCAGGGGGATTCTCACTCCTGTGGTTCTCTGCATTGATCCAGGTGTGTCCCTGCTCCGTTCACCCGGGCACATCCTCATGGGGGGAGAGCCCCAGCTGGAGCTGGAAATGCTGCTGTTGGGATGGAGCTGCTCCCTGACAGCTGGGCAGGACTCTTCCTGCTGATTGTACATTGACACAGGAATGTAGCTGGAGTGAATGAATGAAAAAAAACAGGAGAAGAGCCCATCTGCAGTGAGCTTGGATGAGGAACATCCCTCTTTCAGGTGTGGCTCCTCAAGGAGCGATCCTGCTCTTGTCAGGGAATGTCACGGAGCTCAGGTGAGGATAAACTCATCACAAACCTGGCCCTGGGCACAAGTCAGGTGGCAGAGTCTGTGGGAATGTGTAAGGATCTGAGATGTGCCTCATCCAGGTCTCTGTATTTTCAGGATTCCAGACCTTGGAACACAACCAAATGTGGGTGAGATGGACTTGGTGAGGCTCTGGAAGCATTGGGGGTTTGTGGTGTGTCTGAGCAGGTGTCTCACCCAAACACAGGGAAATGTGCAACACATTTTTAGAGTTGAATATTTTAAGTATCCTGGGAAGCAGATCCCATTCCTGGGGTCAGGAATAGGTCTCCAAGCCCATGTTTGGTGCAGTACAAGTGAGCACTGTTGGGTTCTGCTGTCACTGAGAGTCACAGCTCTGAGGTCACTGCAGTGCTCTGCCACATGCCAGGCTGCTTRTTTGGAGACTGAGGGGAAAATAGCAGTGGATAATTCCTTAAAGAAAACCAGGAAACTCAGGCTGATGGAAAAGGCCAAAGAGGTTGGGGATATTGTGTGTGGGGCTGTGTTCTGTTGCGAGCGAAGTTTGCCAAGGCACCGAGTGTCCATCGGTCCCACCAGAGGATGGTGGCTCAGTGAAGGATTCCAGGAATGGCTGGTGGAAACAGGCAAGCTTGGCTTTTCCCAGTGACACAAAAATGAATTCAGCTCCCAGGGGATCCCTGGAATCAGCTGTGGGTGATGGCACCAAACCCTCTGTCCCTTCCAGCWGGGTTGGTTCTCTCTGTCTCCCCTGTCCCTGTGTCCAGCAGGCTCAAGCTCCAGCTGATCCCAGTAACCAGACAGGGCTCTCATGGCACTGACAGCAACCACAAGTCATTGTTGACCTCCTTCTGCCAGGCTGGAGCTGGCTCATTCTCCCTGTGTGCCTGGGGSAGCCTGGAGCACAGCCAGAGGGACTTGTTTTGTGGAATACCAGAATCCCAAAGTGATTTGGGTTGGGAGGGACCTTAAAGCTCACCCAGTCCCACTCCCTGCCATGGGCAGRGACACCTTTCACTAKMCCAGATTGCTCCAAACCCCATCMAAAYCYGRCCTTGGACACTYCCAGGGATGGGGAATCCACAGCCTCTCTGCTTTCCTTTGCACTGGCCCTCTGATGGGCTGGATATGTSACCTGGCAGTGAGGAAACAGATCCTGGATGGGTTTAATCTGGTGCTATCCCACGTGTGTGGCTAGTGAGCTGGAAAACTTCCTATCTGCTGTGTTGGAAGGTGTGGGACTGGAATCTGCTGGAGCTGGGGTCTGCTGGAGCTGGGTTTGCCTTTGCAGGGTCGGCCTCAATGACAGTTCTGATATTCCATCCTCTTCCTCCCATCCTCCAGTGCTCCCATGCCTCCCTCCCTGGGCTTGCCACAATCTATATTTGCATCCTAAAACTCTGGAACTGAGCCTGGGTAGGGGTGACAGAGAATCCAAAGTGCAGAACAAGCCTGGCCTGAAGGCACCCACCCCATGGCCCAGTTTGTTATTCAAAGCCTTCAGTTAAAATTCTGCTTTCCCAGGGTTAATGTTCACATCTCACTTCATTTCTTTAGGTGAATRTTCAGCAGTTTCAAAGAATTGCAATCAACRGCCTTTAGAGAGTTTTAGGTGGAGKTTATCTGTTCATGCACACCTGGATCCTACAGATAAGTTGTTTACCAGGTAAAGATTTATAGGGAATGCAACATTTTCTGTGCTGTTGAATAGATCAGTTTTAACCTGTGACATTTACAGTGTTAAAAAAAATTAAAATTAAGGCATTTTTGCTTTTCACTTTTTATGAATTCTGCACTAAAAATGTATTTAATGATAGAAATAGCAAGATTGGTCCTTCTGGGTCTTKGATTTTGTTAAAGCTTGATCCAAAGCTCATTGAAATCTGGGGAAATCTCCCATGGATATCCATGGGCTTWGGATCAGCTGAATGAGAGAGAGGTAGGAGCCCACCACAGCTGATCCCMCCTGGCTGAACTCAGCAGGAGCCCATTGGGCACTGGAGAAACTGAGCTGAAATTCAGAATTTTCAGGAATTTGCCTTTAATTAATAAKAGAAGGCCATTTTAGCTTGTTCACTGAGAGCACTGGGGCTGACACACACCAGTTATCAATCACCACCAATAGATTTTATCAATAGGGCAGCACTGTTTAGGTACAGAATAAACTTCCAAAGATCCCTTTCCACACTGAGTATTTTTCACTGGTGAAGGAATTACTGCAACTGCTCCATTTCAAACTAGGAAGCGAGATCCTTTGGAATTCAAAYAGAATTGTGGGATTCAGATTTGCCAAGTGTCCAAGACATCACCGTGCCAAGCCAGCGTGGGAACATAATTCTCCAAAGTGTGCTTGGATGGAATGATTTGTTATTCCCAAATACTTGCCGAAAGAGCAGTGAATGTTTCCGTGTCTGAATGTACAGTTTCTAAGCTGGATTTACATTTTAATGTTGAAAAACTCGGTGTATCTCAAGCTTGTTGTAAAATACTCCTCTGGTTCCTGTTCCCAACGCAGCATCAGAGAGTTGAAGTCCACATTAGATATTTTATGTTAAACAAATAAATAGTTTTTTCAGGAAATAAGTTGTTGGCTGTTCTGGGGGATGTTTAGGAGGGGTCATAACTTYACTTTTTTTTGGAATCAGCATTTGAGGCCCTACCCGTGCCATCACCAAGAGGAAAAAGCGTCACACACCATTTGAATTTTCCCTTTATTGTTCACACAGATTAAATTGCGGCCTTTGGAAGACAAACAGAATTAACCTGCACATAAAATGACAGCTCAGCTYGTTCCTGTCTGCCAAGAGGCCGTGTGAGATCACAGGGCAGTGGCTCCTGTAGGCTCTGAGTTCACAATAATCAGCTCCTTGTCACCAGGTGTACGGTGGTTTCCTGCACCCCTTTTTTTTTTTTTTTTGCAGTGGAATTTTCCCAAAATCTCCTACATGGGGCTGGATTTACAGCAGAGAACGTGCTCCTGAATGTCTCATATTTGGAATAAGTGAAACCAAGGGGACCCCCTGAGGTGGGATCGCAGACCCCTGGGTTCAGAATTAATCAGCAGGGAATTTTCTCCAGCCCTTGTTGTCCTTTTCCTACTCTTTTCCTGATTTTACCCAGCGACTGCAACATCTCAAGCGAGCTACCAGGGAAGCTGGAAATCCTTTGGGCAGACTGGGCATGCCAGTGGCTCCCAGTTTCCCAAATCCAGCTCTGTTTCCTGCACAGCACGGAGGTGAGCTCCAGCATCGCCCATTCCCGAGGCACTGCCCGGGCTGCTGAGCTATTCCTGGCACATGGAGTCATSAGGAGAGAGGAGCTGCATCACGGATGAGTAAGAAACAGTTGGTTTTTCCACGTGGGAGAGTGAGCCAGGCACTGTGCTGGGCTCGAGACAGCCTTTGGATTCAAGGCTTCCAGCGCTCTGTCTGGGATGGTTTGTAGAGCAGGGAGGACACAGGGCAAGGAAAAATCAGCCAGGCTGTATCTTCAGGGTCCCCAGGAGCATCCCTGAACACCCCAGAAAATCCTGCTCCTCCTCTGGGAGGCACAACCCTTCCCAAGCCAGCCCCTCTSTCTGAGCTGTGTCCCACAGCTGGGAGAAATGGGAAGCTGAGGGGCCCCTGGGAGTTTTAGGGACAAGAAGAGCTATTTTCTTGTGCTCTCTGCTATATATAGAGTCTGGCAAGTCCACAGGGCTGGAACAAGTTGCTTTTGTTGCTAAAACATCGTTTGGAAAGGCCATTTTAGGCAAGTGCTGCTGTCTGGTGCCAGCTACACAAACCAGGTGCTGCAGCCCRAGCTTTGTCCCGGCAGGAATGTGAGGAAAACTGCTGTAACCCAGGCACGTGCTTCCAGAGCTGCTGGAACTTCCCTGGGAGCCTCAGAGCTTCTTCCTACTAAGGAGCTTTTGCCTCCTGGGGAGCAGCCTGTAAATCTAATTACACTCTGGGTGTTGGAGCAGCCAGCAGAGACCTCAGGTGTCTCCAGCTCTGTTTTAGATCCCATCCCCTGGTGCAGATGAACTGCAGGACTGTCCAGGGTTCAGCTGAACCTTGCCTGCCCTTTGCAGCCTGATCCCAGACAGCACTTGGTGCACTTTGAAATGGAGAATTAGTCCATATTTGAAAGCCCKTCCTCCAGGAAAGCTGTGGAGGGAGCAGAGCTGCCTGGAAAATGTCTGCAAGCCAGAGCTGCTGCCCGTGTGTGTATCCCTGTGCAATTCCCATCGTTCTGCTGTGATTCCTAAGCTACTGTTGTCACATCYTGCAGGGCAGCAGGTGCTCACAAGCGTGGCCCCGGGGCCCTGGGCAGCTGCTGCTTCTTCTCCTGGAGGATGGTCCCGAAGAGCCGCGCCGCTGCCATGGCACAGCCCCAGTGGATGGTGATCCCAAAGCCGCCGTGGCCGTAGTTGTGAATCACCTGGGGGAGAACCACAGAATGACAGGAAGGGTGGGGGAAACCTCAGAGCCCATCTTGTCCCACCCCCTGCCATGTTCCACCTCCTCCTAGCCYAGGTTGCTCCAAACTCTGTCCAAACTGAGCACTTGCCRGGATGGGGCAGCCACATCAATAATTTGTTTGAGTATCTCTGACATTTMTCCCCAGGCTCAAAGATTCCCTTGCTGTTGGTGGGGAGATCATGGCTCAATTATCACAATTAACACAGTCACTAATGACAYTCAGCCCCGGGGCTGTGCAGGTACCTCTGCCTGGACATTCCCGAGCCGGACGCTCTCCCGCTCCAGGCGGACCGAGGGCCGTGCCGGTCTCAGACCGCTCCACTCCCCGACGATTTGCGCCTTCTGGAAGCAAAAACACATCAACCCTGCACAACATTCCTTGGGATCACAGCAGCCAAACCCCACAGCACCAGGTGAGCCCTGAGATGAGTGGGGACAGAGAGTTCCCCACCCCGCAGCAGATCCAAGCAGAACAATTTGGGATTGCAGCCACCCAGCCCCTGCCTGGAGCTGAGACAAATCCCGGTGCCAAAGCCCCAAGCCACTTTTCCTGCTAATCCAGGAAATATCAGCAGCACTGGGAGTGGACACAACCCACACAAGCTCTTCTCTAAAGGTGTGGGGACACCACAACCAAAGAGCTGGAATCTCCCAAAGCTCTGGTTCTATTTTTTACAGCTCTATGAGTAACTATTACCCACACAACCCTTATCTCAATGCCAGCCCCAGCCCTGCCTGACCCTCATTTGGTGGAAGAATCCTGGCTGTCCATGATGGACACACAGAAACCCCGACTCATGGAAACACCRAGGTCCTGTGGTTTGTCCCAGTGCCCATTCCCAAATCCCAAGGCTCTCAGCTCCCCGTGGCCCATGCTGGCAGCCAGCTCACCCACCTGGAGAGCMGGGAGCAGCCGGCAGCAGCTGTCCCAGATGAATTTGTGATCCTTGGCACTGTTCTCCTCGCTCCAGTTGCCGTGCTGGTAAATCCCTCCCAGGACTGTGAACTCGCTCCTGCACCGGGAGCCAAAGAAGACACATGGTGGTGACTTGTCCCCAGCTGTCCCCAGCTATCCCCAGCTGTCCCCAGCATCGAGGGACACTGTGTGAGCGGGATGTTGGATCCTGCTACACCCTGAGCTGGCAAAATATTCCTGTGGGAGAAACTCCCCCACGGAGCCGGCGGAGAGCGGTGCCTGCACGTCAGCTCATGAGCGAGTCACTCATTAAATCCTGTCAGCCCTTCCTTGTCTGGRCAAAGCAGATAATTCCATCAAATCTGCTCCTGCCTGGCTCAGGAAGAGCTGGAAGGAACGGGATGGCTCCGGAGGGAAGCACAGAAAACAGATTGGTGCTGCTGCTGCCCCAGACTCCTGAGGATTAACGGGACAAAAAGGAGGTGCAGGCTGAGGTGGGGCCTGGGGAGGTCTGTACTGGCTGGACCCTTCCAAAACTTTGCCTGATCCTTTTTTTTTTTTTTTGAAGCACAAAAGCAAAAGGAGGAACCCTCCAGGGCTGAGATCTCCAGAAGGGAAGGGGTGTCCTCAACCCAGCTCTTCCTTTGGGATCAGCSTGGTGCCCAGCTCTGACAGCTCGAGCTAAAACAAGCACAGGCAGAGGAATTTGTCTGTGGCTGTGACTGGGAATCACTCAGAACACACTGCCTGGGGGCTGCGAGCCTGCAAAGCTCCTGTTTACACCCTGGCTCATGGCCTAATCCTGAAAAATTAGGACTAAAGGAAGTGACAGAGATGCAGCATTCAAATTCCAGCTTAAAGACCCCTCTCCATTGCCAGAGCAAGGTCACTGTGGAAGCAGAGTTGGGATGAACAGCAGATGGATTTATTTATCCCATGGTGTAGCTCGCTGGGCAGAGCCAGGAATTGGACTTGATCCTTGTGRTCCYTTCCAGCTCAGGATATTCCATGATTCTGTGATAAATCCAAGTGGCATGACCCCAGGCTCACCAGCAGCTCAGCAAGGGGAAGGCTGAGCTTTTCTGGGTAAATTTTGTTGAAGTAAAAAGAATTCCTGCCCTATTTTTATGGGAGGATGGATGAGCAGCGCCTTTCTCCACACTGAGCTGCTGCACCACGGTTGGGCAACACCGTTGATAAAAATAATAGCTATAAATGTGAAAACAAAAGATCTCCCCCAAAATATCCACTCCTATCAGTTTAGCTGTTTTGGGGATTTGGCTGGGGCTGAGTTGGCTTTGGTGGGATTTGGTCCTTGGAAAAGGAGAGGACATGGAAGCACTGTGGTGCAGGGTGCTCTCCGTGCTGGCTGGGAGCTCCCTCACTTTGCTGCCCACATCCTTCTGTTCTCCTCCCACACAGCCATGAGAAGCACCAGGGATGAGGCCAGGCCTGTCAGACACCAGCAGGAGCCATATCCCAGCCGGGGATTTGGGAACATTGACAGAGGAATGTCACCAGCTCCAGCCAGCCCTGCCTCGACCACTGTTACCTACCCTGGGATGACGTAGGGTGAGTTGTAGATCCCGGATTTCAAGTCGTGAGTGATGATGAAATGCTTCACCCACGGGGCCAGGACCTGGGAGATGAAGGGGAGGAAGTCAGGGAGAGCTGGAGAGGGRGTGCCAGGCTTAGGGGACATGGGAGGGACAGTGAGATCTGGATGTGGGACCCTCCTTTAACTCTGTGTTCTGTGCTGGCTTCCCTGGGAAGATCAGAACACAGGAGTGCAGGTAGGGAGGAGCTTGAGTCTGTGTTTCCCTAAATAATCATCCTCTTCTCCCAAAGATTTCATGTTTTTTTGTTATCAGCATTATGCCTCTGACCTCCCCAGTCCTCACCCCATGGACAAACAGGCTGGGGGCATTCCCACAGCTGAACCAGGAATGGGATCTTGCTTGGTGCCCAGTGTTTGCTGGGAATCAAGACCCAATCCCAGTGTGGGTCCATGGTTTACCCCAGAGGGTTTGGACACTCCTTGTGGTCACAGAGGGGTTTTTGGGAAGCCCCCAGACCTGCCCCAGCTCACCTTGATGACCTGGCCCCGACCAGGCTGCAGCTCCGGGTCGGGCTGGAGCTCCCCTGAGCGCATCCCGCTGCAGTTCAGCACCACATCCACACCCTGGGAAAACAGCTGAGGAGAGAGGGACATGGCTGGGAGCAGCACATGAAGATGCTGCCACAGGAGCATGACATTCCTGCTTCCAGATCAGCCAAGTGCTCTTTCCAACAGTCAGGAAATGGATAAACCATAAGGGCCAGACCCAGGGCACAGCTTGCCCAGCCAGCTCCTGCTGACACCCCATGTGTGCCACCAAACCTTTCCAGGGAAAGCTGCCAATCCATGTGGGATAAATGCTCCACCCCATCCCCTGATAACCATCCCTCAATACCCAACACCCCTCATCTTCCCTGGTAGAATTTATTTCCTAGATCTTGGCATAGTTTTGCTGCTGTCCCCTGGCCCATCACGCATTCCAAGGGATATTCTTGCCTGCTGGATGCTGCTCCTCCACTCTGCCCTGGCCCYACATCCTCACTCACCTCCTGGAAAGACTCAACCTTCCTATGGAAAAACTTCACTCCTTTCTGCATCAGCCTGGGAAGAAYAAGTTCATTTGTTACTGGCAAATTAAAAGCAAGTGTTCAATACCGGGGCACCTGCTCAGCATTAGAAATTACAGGAATAAAATCAAGCCCCAAATTCTTCCAAAGCCAAAAGCACTTGGATRCAGCTCCAGGTATCCCATTACTTTYATTTTTGTCRTGCAAAARTACWCTYCTGGGCTCAGTATTAAAGTGGRGAAACTGTTRCCCCAMTGGRGCAACGAGCAGGGATTCCAGACCCTTTTTCCARCTTCCCAGGGATGCATCYCTGCCWCTCCTATSCTGATGTTCAGGATRAAAATCCAAACCTGCAGCCAGAGGGACCAGGGGCAGCTGCACTCACCTGTTGGTGAGCCAGGGCAGGTAACTCCTGCCCTCCAGCATCAGCGCCGTGTTGAACCAGCCRTAGCTGAAACAGGAGGAGAGGAGGCTGTGAGGATCTACAGAAACCTCCTGCCCTGAAATTCCTGACAGCCACTGTGGATCTGGGATCCTAATCCCTCTGGGACCCCCATCACACAATAAGTGCATTATTTTTCTCCCCTTTTTAYGCATAAAACACCTTCTGCTGGTTTTCCTCCCCCATTTTGGTGAGTTAAGAGAGGAGCCAGGATGGATTTTGTGCTGGGCTGCTGCTTTTTTGGCCATTTGATTTGTTTCTTATTTTAAAGGAAGCAGCTCTAAACAAGTGAGGAAATTTCTATGCCTGATGTTCCTTGTCCCACTACCCCATGCCAGGCAGGTATTCAGGACTCTCTGGCCAGAACTGTCCAAAAAACAGACTGAAAAATACCTGTAACCAGGAAAAAGTTCAAGCTCTTTCAGTGTCAAGTTCCTGAATCCCAGCACAATGTTCTTCCAGGATGGGTCCTAGACAAGAAAAGAGTCCTGAGATGATTAATGAACCGGGATCACCATGGGATGGGAGCCGTGGGGGGATCATGGGACACAGATCATCCCAAAGGGAGACAGTGGATGTGCAGCTGGAGAGGCTCTGTCACTGCCATCCTCAGAGGGTTCAACCCTTCCTCACACCAATTTAACCTCGGGAACAGTGAAAATGCCGTGTCCTAGGCACTGTCACAAGGCAAACTCGGAAATTAGGGAGAAATTGGGAAGAAGCACAGTCCCGCCCTCCCCAGGCCTGGCCGTGACTCGCTCCTTACCGGCACGGGCTCCGTGAACAGGTTGTAGCCAGAAATGAGGAAAAGTCCCATTTCCTTGGCTGCTGGGGAGTGCAGGTGGCCCAGGAGGTAATCGAATGTCTCTTTATTCCAGAGCCTGTGATGAGAACGGGAGTGGTGGCTCTGCCAGCCCCCAGAGCAGCTCATGGGAATGGGGAGAGGGACACAGCACCACCCTCCTCCTCCTCTTCCTCCTCCTCCTCCTGCCTTACGTCTCCTGCAGGTTGCCGTGGTCACTCAGGTAGGGCTGCCACAGCCCGGCTGCCCCATCGCTGGTGGTGTGGGGGGTGAAGTGGTCAGCGTAGACCTCCAGCTCCAGGGAGGGCACCAGGCCATGGAACTGCTCATGGATGCACAGGGCACTGGACAGCCCGATCACCCCAGCCCCAATGATGGCCACACGCATGGCTCCGGCTCCCTGCAAGGGATGAGGGATYAAAGAGGGCTGCTGGATAAGCTGGGAATATCATGGGGGAACATCAACCCTGCAGGAGCAACAGGGAAGGGCTGAAATCCTCATGATGTGTCTGTGTGCATTCTTTGAAAACATCCCAGTTCTCCTCAAGCTCTGACCAGACACTGGAATCACTGATGGGGGTTGTGATTCCTCACAGCGGCTGGGGAATGTCTCCATCCCAGAAAAGCTGCCACAGCCACACTCCTCACCTGGCACAAGGAGCTCTGGGTGTGCCATGCCCTGGAACAGGGTGGCACAGCCTCAGGATCCTCCTCTGCCTCCCACCAGCCTCAGGCTGAGCATTCAGGGAGAGTCTGGAGCACCCACCACAGCTCCATCTCCCAAGGGACAGCGTGAACCCTCCTTTCCCAGCGACCCAACCCCGCTCTGAGCCCTCCCAACCCTTCCCAGTCACTGGCAGGGGCTGGGGGCAAGAGATGGGCACGGATAAAAGAGATGAAAGGAAAGCAGCAGGCATTTTCCAGGGAGCAATGCCAGGTGTGATGGGTGCAGGGTTGGATCCTCACCCCTTTGTCACCCTCATGGCTGTGCCACCACCCCAAACCCTTCTGGCCGTAGCTGGAGAATCGCTCTGGGTAAATCCTGGCTGCAAAGAGGGGCTGCAGCCCCTCTCCATCCCCTGGAGACAGCGCTTTCCTGCCTTGGAAAAGCCCTGTGGTCACTGCCTGCACAGGGAGCGGACAAGGACCGGTTTGGGGAAGGGCTGGGGGTGCAGATCCTTGGCCGGTTCTGGGAGCAGGAATAAATTCCAGCTCGCAATTTATTYTTTGGACAAGGTGAAGTGCAGCATCTCTGCTGTGACATTTGCCRGGATGAAGGGATGAGTCATTGGAACGGCGCCCCGGGAGCTGCTTCCCATCTGCCGTGGTTTTAGTGGTTTTATAACCCACAGGAACCGGGCTCACCTCCTCCACCTGGGACACGGACTCACCCTGGCTGCAGCTGAGCAGGATCCACAAAAAAAAAAATAATGGGAATACACATTTTCCACCGGTTTACCTGTAGAGTGTGGGGTCCCCGGAGCAGTCACTGCCACGTCTCCAGAGGCTTCACAGAGTCAGAGTTGTTGTTACAGCCCAGCAGGGCAAGGTCTGAACATCCAGGGCAGCAGGGCCAAAGTTCTGCTYTGGCCCCGGGGAGGTGGAGTTCCCACGTGCCGCTGGCAGGCRGCCCCAAAGTCATGGAAAACGGGGTCACCACCATTGGTGGCAAAATGCCATCCCTGACACTTGTTCCCATGGTGACTGCTGGCGGATCGGGACACAGGGATGGTCTTGGAGGTCTTTTCCAACAGCAGTGATTCTATGATTTCTGGCTGGCTGGATGTGCAGAATWATTTTGGYTGGRAAAGAYCACTGAGATCAACTTTTGACTGATCACCATCTTGTCAACTAGACCAGAGTGCTAATGCCATATCCAGTTGCTTCTTGAACACAGGATTCCCGTGGGATCTGAGAAAAATCGGGTGCTTCTGGCTCAGTTTTTGGGTAGGAAGAGAGGCTGAGGGAATTGGSATTGTTCAGCCTGGAAAAGAGAAGGCTTTGGAGGGACCTAATTGTGGCCTTCCAGTACCTGAAGGGAGCCTGCARGAAAATGGAGAGAGACTAATTACAAGGRCCTGGAGTGACAGGACAGGGAGGAATAACTTCCCACTGCCAGAGGGCAGGGTTAGAGGGGATAGTGGGAAAAAATTCCTCCCTGTAAGGATGGTGAGGCCCTGGCACAGGTGGCCCAGAGAAGCTGTGGCTGCCCCTGGATCCCTGGAAATCCCAAAGGCCAGGACGGACGGCGGTTGGAGCTACTCGGCCCCGTGGAAAGTGTCCG